ATTCCCCAATAATGTAGACCATCTCAGGGACCACAACTTTGCAGAGAAGGAGAGTTCTGAGGAGCTGAAGACAATTCTGCTTAAGGCCCTGCCCGTTAACTCATATGTCCATGGAGGCCCCAGTTTAGGGATCGGGCCGACACAAGACAGGACCTCACATGATGGGTGAACTCCCTGATGGGAAAAGGTGTGATCTTGAGCTAGTACCCTCTCTGTTTCTCAGTTTCCTCATCTATTAAATTAGGTGCAGGTACGTCACTTAACCTCTCTGTGCCTCAGTTTCCTCCTCTGTAAAATGGGTACAATAATAACAACCCTTACCGCCCAGAGTGGTGGTAAGGATCAGATGAGTCATTTGTAATAATAAATAAAATAAAATTGGGTTGTCAGGCTACATGCTCACTGCCATTAGTCAATCAGGCATTTATTAAATAGCTCCCATGCACTGAGCTGGGGGGAATATGAAGGCGAGTGCAATACAGACCCTGTATTGTAGGCTCTTACGTTCTAATAGGGGAGATAGCACGTACATAGACAGAATGTGCGCAGAATAGAAGCATCCAGGGGCGAAGGAGATAGCGCATTGGAACATTCTGACTTCAAGTCAGAAACACCCAAGTTTGAATCCTACAGGCCCCAGGGACTTGCTAGACCCTGGACTAGTCACACCCTCAGCCTCAGTTTCCTCATCTGTAATATGGAGGGGTTGGACCCCTTCTGGCTTTAAATTCATGATCGTAATGCAAAATGATGTTGGGAGGGAGGGTGCTAGCAGCTGGGGTGGGAGTGGGGATGGTAGATCACACAATAGAAAGCAATGCTTGAGCCAAGTTTTAAAGGAAATTGGGATTCCAAGGGGAGGAGGGGAGAACATTCCCGGCATGGCAGACAGCCGGGGCAAAGGCTTGGTAGTGGGAGATGGAGTATCATGGGGAAGGGTCTGCAACATGTTAGGTCCGTCTTCAAAGTAACTTCCCACCACATGGTCACAGTGCCTGAAATGCTGCCATTACAAGAAGGCTTCCATTGGGTCTTCTAGAGTGCATTCGTTAGTGTGTTCGACTTGGAATTAGGAAGATGTGGATTCAAGTTCTGCCTCTGATACTTACTGGCTGTGTAAGACTGTGGGCTGGTCACTTAACTTTTCTAAGTCTGTTTCTTCATCTATACGATGGGGGGGCTGGGCCAGATGGCAGCCGAGGTCCTCACCAGCTCTAGCCCACTGGTCCTTTCTGGACACTATTAGCAGAGACCCTAATTGGATGGCAGAGCTGTGGACGCTAAGATAAACTGCCCCAAGCATCCCCCCCTCTCAAGAATCAGAATCAGCAGTAGAGAATCATTGATCGTTAGAGCTGGTAGCTCCACCTCTGTATTTTGTTACATCGTGTCTGACTCTTTGTGTCCCCGATTTGGGGTTTTCTTGGCAAAGGTACTGAGTAAAGTAACTTGCCCAGGGTCACACAGCTAGTAAATGTCTGAGGCAGGATTTGAATTTAGAAAGAGGAGTCTTCCTGACTCTAGGAGCAGCGCTCTGTGCACTATGGCGCCCCCCTAGCTGCCCATTAGAGGTGGTAGGGACAGATGAGGTCAGGTACAGCAACCTTGGCATTGTGGAGAAAAGGAAACCAAGGCCCAGAGAGGGCAAGGCACTTTCCACAAATCACACAGCAAGCCGGTGGGGAAATTGCCGTTATTTTAGAGGCAGCTAGGTGGCCCCATAGGGCACAGAGCACTGGGCCTGGAGTCAGGAAGACCCAAGTTCAAATCCAACCTGAGCCATTTCCTAGCTGTGTGACCCTGGGGAAGTCACTTAACCTCTGCCTGGTAACTATAATAGCTAGCATTTCTGTAGCTACTGCTATGTGCCAGGGACAATGCTGAGTGCTTTACAAATATCTCATTTGATCCTCGTAACAACCCTGGAAGGGTGGCTAGGTGGCACAGTGGGTGGATTTTTGGCCCTGGAATCATGAGAACCTTGGTTAAAGTCCAGCCTCATGTGCTGTGTGACCTTGGACAAGTCACTTGACCCTATTTGCTTCAGTTTCCTCATTTGTGAACTGATCTAGAGGAGGAAATGGCAAACCACTGCAGCATCTTTGTCAAGACAACCCCACATAGGGTCACAAAGAGTCAGACACCATTAATCAACAAAACAACCCTGGAGGGTAGGTGCTTTTATTTCCATTTGACAATTGAGGAAATGGAGGCAGGCAAGTTAAATGACTTGCCCAAGATCATACAGCTAGGAAGTGTGTGAGGCTGGGTTTGAACTCAGGTCTTCCTGACTCCCAGGCTTAGTGCTCTATCCGCTGTCCAGTTGCTGCCTCAGTTTCCTCACCTGTAAAATGAGGATAACAGCAACTGCCTCTCAGGGTCATTGTAAGGGTCAAATGAAATAATATTTATAAAACGCTTAGCATGGTGCCCTTTTACTACTACTGTTCCTCAGTACCCAGTTTGATTCTCTGTCTTATGGGGGAAGAGGTGGAGTCCAAGGGCCGTTCTAGCCCCAGAGAGAACGGAACGTGCCAACATGCAAAGGTAGCCGCAGTGCTGGAACGGAGCTAGGAGGAGGTTAGAGTCCTCTCTTTAACACTTGCTGCCTAGCCTTAGCAAGTCACTTTTGCTCGGGCCTTAGTTTCCTCATCTGTAAAATGAGGACAGTAACTCATGTTTATAGCACATTGAGGCATTGTAAAGAGAATCCCAGAATTCGAGAGCGGGAAGGGACCTCAGTGTCCATTTAGTGCCCCAGAGGAATCCCCTAAATATTTAACAAGTACTCTCTGCTTGAGGGCCTCCATAGGAGGCCCACCGCCTCTCTCTCTCTTCCAGGTGAGCCCTGTCCACTGTGGGACAGCCGTAAGTGCTGGACAGCTTGTCCGATCCTCAGCTCTATATTCTTCCCTTGGTATTGTCTGCCCTGCTCCTGGCTCTGCCCTCTGGGGCCAAACAGATCAAATCTCATCTCTCCCCACAGGACAGACCTTTAAATACTTAATGACGTCTATCATGTCCTTCCACCCCCCCCCCCCAAGCCTTCTTTTTTCTGTGATAAACATCCCCTGTACCTCATAGGACAGTCTCAAGGCTCTTTCCCTTCCTAGTGACCTTCTAGCTAGTAATTGACCTTTTTAAACTGCAGTACCCAGTCTTGACCTCACTGCTCCAGCTGTCATCTGACCAGGTCTGAACACAGTGGGACAATCATTTCTCTCTAGTTAGCTGCCATATCTCACTATAGTCCCTTAAGAACCCCAGATCTTTTTCAGAACAACTGTGTTGTCTAACACCATCCTTCTCCACATTGTACTTATAAAGTCAATTATTTATCCTATCAGATTTCATCTTGTTTGACTCATCCCAATACTCTAGCCTGTCAAGATCTTTTTAGGTCCTGACTTTGTCATCCAGTGTGTTATGTAAAACTATGAGCATGTTTTATATGCTGTTACCCAAGTGATTAATTTAAATGTTTGACAGAATAGGGCTAAGTAGAGATTCCTGGGGAACTCCACTGGAGACTTCTTGCTATGATGTTATCAGCTGTATTTTGAGACTAGCTAACACCCGAGCTCTAAACTTTATTGTATTATTGTCTAATCCACGTATCTTCACCCTCTCCTAAAGAATAGTTTGATTATCACTTATCAGTGACTTTGCTTAAAATTGAACTATATCCACAGCACTTCCCTTACATTAAGTAGCTTATTTTAGTAAGTACTTAAGTAGTATTTAATAGCTTAGTAATCTTCTCTATCAAAAAAAACCGAACCCAATGAGATTAGCCTGTTTTGTGACCAGTGCATGCTGAAATCATGTCAGCCCTTTGTAATCACCACTTCTTTTTCTAGATATTAAGGGTCTATTGTGGAATTTTCCCATGAATCAAAGTAATTGTTCTTTCTCTTTTGAAAATTAGAATCATATTTACCCTTGTCCAATCTTACTTTACTTCTCATTTTTATGACAAGCCTGTGAGGTGGGTAGTGCAAATATTATTTACCTTGAGTATAGCAACAGTTATAGGTAGACAAAGCTGGTGAAAGTCACCAGCTCTATCCAGCTTGTGACTTGTATGGATCATAACTGGCATACTGGCAAGAGATAGAAAGTCTAACTGTAGTCCAATTAGAATTGAGACCGATTCTGAAGGATAGCAGGAATAAAGGCATTTGGAAGATTTAAAAGGCCCAATAGTTTATCCAGCTATTTGACTGGCTGTTGCCCTTTGGGGTACGCATCACAAAAGAGCTATAATAATCCCAAGGCTATAAACTAAAGCATTATACAACACTGCCCTCTATGGGGAAGAGAAAAACTACATTGTCCCTTGGTGGATGCCAGCAAAGTCTCACAACTGGGAGCGACTCAGTGATGTTAGAGGACATTGGTATCTGCACAGCATCAGTGGTAGGAGTTGCCCTGGCCATCACATTTCTTCCACATATGTATATTTCCTGGTCTTACATTCCCTGTGGGTGGTTCCTCCTCCCACCAAAGGAATTAGTTGCTGATAAGGAGAAGTATCCCTGTGTAGGGAGAAAAATCATACGTATATTATGCTCTTTCCTTAAATGTCTTCCTCTGAACTAACTAGTCCTCCAGTTGGCCTAGTAGGAGAAAAAAAAACCCAACTACAAAACATATTCCAGCTCTGGTTATAGTAGAGCAAAGGACATGGACCCTACAGTAGCATATTAGGGCCATATGTGTACAAGGATCAGATTTGCCCTTGGTCCCAGCTAGTCCATTTAAAACCAGATTTCTTGACTCCCAAGTCCAGCATTCCCCCCGCCCCTTATTCTGTGTTTCACACTTGTGCCACACTTTCTTCAGAAAGCTAGAAAGAAAGTAACATTTAAATAGGCTTGGGTTTTTTTTGGCCCCTACCCCAGCCCCATGATAAAGAAGCTACCACTTGAATGAAATAGGAGCTTTATTGAATATTAGCTCAAATTCTCAAGCCAAGGTCCAAGCCATAAGTAGCATCTCTGGTGGGTTAGTCACTCTCAGCACCATAAAATAGACTGGACGAGGGGACCAGGAGGGTGAAGGCCAAGTGTGCCACAATCTAAGATGTCTCTCAAGGCAGACACTATACGCCATTGAAGATTAGGGTTCAGTCCACTGATTGGAAGAGACATGGCCGTTGGCCATCACTGTAGTCTAGAGATTGTCCAGAAGATTAGATGGATAAGACAGTAGTGGAGAGAGCTCCTGCCACCACCCCATAGGTGGGCATCAGGGCAGAGAAGAGAGCAGGAGATGACCCATCATATGATAAAGTTCCACCATTTATAGGGCAGCGGTTCCCGGCGGATGTTGAGCCAGTAGTAGGCATCCCCCTCATCTCCTTGATGACCGAAGAATTCCCTAATGAAAAGACAATTCAGGCCCAATGGTTCCAGCAGGCTCTGGACCTTTTTCTCCACACAGCAGACTCCATTGACTAAGGGCCCGAAGGGTTTGGGGATCCCAAGATAAGATCCTAGGACGATCATATTCAACTATGGCAAGAAGAAAAAAAAAAAGGAAGGTAGAGACTCGTCGGCAGCTTCTGGGGTCAAGAAGCCCCAGTCCCTACATCTAGGAGATAGTCTATGCAGAACACTGAGAAGGAAAAAAATCAGTAGCACTGAGGGTCTGGGTCACTTTCAAGGAAAAGAGTTCTAAAAGAGAGGAAGGAAGATCTGTTATAGATAGATACAGAACCAGAGATAGAAGAGACCTTAGTGTCTATTTTTGGGGTAACTAGTGACTTGCTTGACGATCTCATCAACTCCCATTGTTTGTCCCTCCATGCTAAGGATTCCCAGACCCAGAGATAGAAGAGACCTTAGTGTCTATTTTTGGGGTAACTAGTGACTTGCTTGACGATCTCATCAACTCCCATTGTTTGTCTGTCCCTCCATGCTAAGGATTCCCAGACCTTCATGTCCAACCCTAAGCTTTCTCTGTTGTCTGACTCCTCTCTTGTACTCACCCCATATATCTAATCCATATATCTTGCTGGAATCTTGTCATCTAGATAGACGTGACATCTCTCATGGATTCCCCTTCTCTCTACTCACACATCTACTACCCTAGTTCAGGCCTGCATCAGTATCACCCTGGATTATTCAAATAGCTTCTAATTAGTATCCCTGACTCAAATCTTTCCTGCCCCAATCCATCCTCAGCACACCTGCCAAGGGGATTTTCCTGAAATGCAGGTCTCCCTATGTCACCTCTGTCTCCCACCTTCAAACTCCAGTAGCTCCCTATTACCCCTAAGATCAAATCCCTCTGATTGTCATTTAAAGGCTCTTTACACCTTACTCCCCTCTATGCATGATATGACCGGGCTACCTTGGTGGCCTTAATGTTCTTCATGCATGATCTACCATGCTTTTGTCGGGGCCATCCACCATGCCTGGAATGCTCTCTCCTCAGCTCGCCCAACTTCCTTGGAGACCCAGCTCCAAAGTCATCTTTTGTAATGAGATTCCTGCCTGTCCCTACAGATAGGTGGTACGATAGATAGAGAGCTAGGCACAGAGTCAGGAAGCCCAGATGTCAAGGATGGTCTACTGCCTGAACACCCTGCCATATTTCTTACCATGTTTGGGAAGAGATGCCCTGCTCGGAGCACGTCTTTTTTGGTGGTGGGATCCTGGATCCATCCTAGGCGAAACAGCTGGGGAATATCAATGATGTCTCCTTCTGAGAGCCCCAATTCTTCCTTCAGTATCATTCGGTTCCAAGTGATACAAGTCTTGACATAGGGAGAGAAGAAGAAAAGCATCATAATGCTAGAAAGGGAACTTTGCCCAGAAAGGAAATGGGACATGCCCGTATCATACTGTGAGTTAGTGGTAGGCTGAGGACTTGAGCCCAGGTCTCCCGACCTCCAACCCTTAACTTTGCTACAACACACCACCTTTCAATAGAGGGGCAATGATTTTATCTGGAAAAGGGGGGGAAAAAAAGGTTCCCATATCAGGCCTATAGCAGACAATTCACATTTGTGGAATTGATTTCCAACTCCATTTTTAGCCTTTATCTTCAAACTCTTGTCAGCCTTACAGCACGGGCCAGGGTGTACGATATGGAAGAGAGGATTAAATTTTAGTCTGTATTAGTGACCAAGAGAGGAAAGGTCAGTTTGTGGGCTCTGCCAGCCTCCGACTCTGACCCCAGCCAGGCTCAGAGCTGCCCAGACCTGCCAGTCTTTCTCCTCCCCAGTACCTGCACGTAGTCATTCTGCCTCTGCAAGAGTTCATCAGCTAAGATCTCGCTGATACTCATCCTCGCCCTTTCTGTAGGGAAGATAAGACAAGGTGATGAGGACCAACGTTACCGGCAGCCATGGGAATCATGAGAGGGAGAGGAAGTGGGCTGGGGAGGGGCACGGACGAGGCTGGAGGGGTCCTGCTCAGCTCTTCATACGCTTGTCCCCCTTCTTGCCCACAGAGCCTCCTGTCTACCAAGACCTGCAGGCTCCTCTTCCTGTTTTCCCGTGGGATCTCATTCATCCTCATAGTTTCAGTTGCGTCCCTCCGTGCAGGCAACTCTCCCAACTACACACATACGCACACGTCACCAGCCCCCATTCTCCCGCCAATGCCTGCCAGCCACATCTGCTCCAGTATCCCAGCGACCATCTCGAATTCTGCCTGACCTCTCCTCCACTGCCAGTTACTCTCACCTGCGACTATTCTGTCTTCCAAAAAACAAAGAGCAAAGAACAATCCCCCACACCTTTTCTTCTATCAGCTAGTACTTTCTTGGCCAGCACTGCTTGTTGGCTGCTCTGCGTCTGTTGGGGGCGTAGGCACAGCGGAGTACAGGTATGTGTATATGTGTATGTATGTCTGTGCATATATGCCTCCCCTAGTAGAATGTAAACTTCTAGAGGGCAGGGATTATTTTACCTCTGTCTTTGTGCCTGACACACAGTAGGTGCTTAATAAATGCATGTTCACTGACCTGAGCTCATAGCATCCAGGCCAGCAATATCTTAGGATGCCCATTAGACACTCCCCCCGATCCTTGTGAGCCCAGCGCTGTGTTGGGGGAGCTTGTGTTGTGGGTCAGATGGAGCTGGCCAAGGTGAGGGGGATCAGAGGAAGGGAGATACCAGCGTAAGAGAGCAGTTCTTCTTCCACTGCGTCCAACACAGAAGCATTTCCATGCCCGTGTCTTTGCTCCATTTTGAATAGCTCGTAGCAAGCACTGGGACTAGCCAGGAGGAGCCGGAAGCCCTAGAGACAAAAAGGACAGAGCAATGAAGGGCTGTTTGACCATGGATCCCATATGTGCATTTTCAAGGTTTTCAGTGGGATGAGGACATTGTTTTTGTTTTTTTGTTTTTTAGGCAGTTGGGGTTAAGTGACTTGCCCAGGGTCACACAGCTAGTATGTGTCAAGTGTTTGTTCTGAGGTCGGATTTGAACTCAGGTCCTCCTGACTTCAGGGCCGGTGCTCTATCCACTGCACCACCTAGCTGCCCCTGGATGAGGACATTGTTGAAGGCATAGAGAGAGAACAGATGTAGCCAGTAGCCACTCTTACTGGGGTGAGGGGCACGCCGCTAGTTCTGGTAGCTACTTAGATTAGTACCCAATGGGTGCTCAAGTTTGTGGATTTGACGTTGTGAGGAAGAGGTTCCCATAAATCCCCTCACCATGGATCCTGGCAGACTAGAGATTAAGAGTCAGATTATAATGATAGGGCTGGGGTGGGGGTAGACCTAGACTTAATATCCAGAGCCTTCATCTTTTTATCAAGTTTCCCCGTTAGAAGGGCAGGGAGATTGAGGTGACCAGTACAAATGAAGGGATCCCAACCTATTTAGGGTCATATGTCTATGGCCCAAAGGGTCCTTTGAGGCCATTGGAGTCCCAACATTCATTTTATTTATTTTTTAATTTTTTTAATTTAGGCAATTGGGGTTAAGTGACTTGCCCAAGGTCACACAGCTAGTAAATGTCAAGTGTTTGGTCTGAGGCCAGATTTGAACTCAAGTCCTCCTGACTTCAGGGCCGATGCTGTATTCATTGTGCCACCTAGCTGCCCCCCAACATTCATTTTAAAGAAAAGGGGAAATGAAATCCAGAGAGGTTAAACCAATTCGCCCAAGGCCACACAGTCGGGAGTAGTAAAGTCAAAATTTGAACCTGGCTTTTCCAACTCTGTAGCTATGTTCTTTCCACTGGACCATGTGAAACTAGTGAGTTTCTTCTCCTAATATGTGCGTGTGGGTTAACTTCAAGTCCACTTAGATACTCACTAACATAGTTCAAACCTACATCAGGTCCATCCCTTCCCCACACAATCCCAGCATTAACCAGGCCAGACAGACATTTCCTGCCCTCTACCTTTCCATCGTTGGCAGGGACGAAGGTCAGGAATTCTTTCACGTTGCCCTCCAGAAGCCATTCAGAAAAGAGTTCCAGGGGGTCTTGCATGTTCTGGGCATAGATGAATGTCCGCAACCTTTGGTTCACTTCTATGATGTTTTCCCTAAGAAACACAAGCGTTAAGTAAAGCTAGGAGATATCTAGGAGGAGGGAAGTAGGCTGAAGGCCAGTGGGGCCAAAGGATGGGAATCCTGGGCCACAATTCAGCATTGTGCCCATTTCATTTTCCATTAAAAAAAAAATCTCTATTTTGTTTTTAAATCACTCCCCTAAGTCTGAATATTCTACTTCCCTTCCCAGAGGGCCATTCCTTCTAATGAATAATACAAGCACAAACTAGGGACTGGACTTTCGCCTTCCTTGGCACTGGTCGCTCCCAGGGGAGGAAATGGCTGCTGATGCAGGTTGGTACCTTCTGTGCCATTTATAATCCTAGAGGATTCTCTGGGACACTGAAAGGTTTAAGTTACTTGCCTGGGATTCACAGAACTCCTAGGTGTTGGACCCATTCTTGAACCCATGTCTGTCTTCCTTTTTTTTTTTCAATTAGTTAATTTTAGTTTAATATGCACTTCCATAAGATTTCGATTTCTAAATTTTTCCCCCTCTCCCCTCCCCAACATGGCATGTAATCTGATATAGGCTCTACATGTACATCCATATTAAACATATTTTCACATTAGTCATGTTGTAAAGAATTAGAACTAATGGGAAGATCCACAAGAAAGAACAACAACAAAAAAAGAACAAATAGCTTGCTTCAATCTGCATTCAGACTCCATAGTTCTTTCTCTGGATGTGAGCATTTTCCATCATGAGTTTTTCAGAATTGTCTTAGATCTTTGCATTGCTAAGAATTAAGTCTGTCAAAGTCAGTCATCGCACAATGTGGCTGTTACTGTGTACAATGTTCTCCTGCTTCTGTTCGCTTCACTCAACATCAGTTCGTGAAAGTCTTTCTAGGTTTTTTTGAAATCTGCCTGCTCATCATTTCTTATAGCACAATAGTATTCCTTTACATTCATATACCACAACTTGTTCAGCTGTTTCCCAGTTGATGGGCATCCCCTCAATTTCCAATTCTTGGCCACCACAAAAAGAACTGCTATAAATATTTTTTTTTTGAACACATGGGTCCTTTTCCCATTTTTATGACTTCTTTGGGATATAGACCTAGAAGTAGTATTACTGGGGTCAAAGAACCCACATCTTCCTAAGACCGGCTTCCTATGGGGGAGGGGGAAAGGAAGAGAAAAGAGACTAGAAAACAATTCTACAAAAATAGTCAACACATAAACCAAGTGACAATGCATACAATATTTCACATCCATAGGTCCCCAACTCTGCAAAGACAGGATGGGTCTCCCTCTGCCTATTTCAGAGAGGCTAGACTGAAGGAACTTTAGTTTTAAGTCATTAGTGTCTTTCCTAACTTGGACAGCAGAGTTCTGGACACAGAAGGGAAGTCTTATGCTGTATCTGACTTCAGGGGACCTTGGTTTGAACCCTGATTCTGCTCCTTTTTGGGGTCTGATTTTTCTTCATTTTTAAGTGCGAGGGGGTGGGATGAACTTAGGGTAACCTCTAATTCTAAGATTCCTTCTTGTTCTAGATCTATGATCCAAAAGGTCCTTTTTTCCCCTTCTCAGAATCTAGATTCCAAGACGATGAGGTCACAGGATTCAGAACTGGAAGTGATCTCAAGGACAGTCTGTTTTAATCCCACACACCCCACCTCCGCCTTATGAAAAGAGGCAGGAACAAAACCCCACAGGTATAAAACTGATTCACCTAAAGTTGCACAGAAGTGCCAGAAAAGGGATTTGAATCCTGGTCTTCTGACTTCAAGTTTGATGCTCTTTCTTAGAATCACACCAACATCCTCCAAAAGCCTGATTTAAAGTTGCTTCTTCCCATAAGCCTTTCCCCACCCACTTGATCAGCAGAAATGTACAGTTATCCCTTCTACCTTGCAACTTTCCTTATCACAGTTTTGATATAACATGGGTTGGTATAAGAAATTAAATGCGAATTTGGGGAAAGTTTTGCAGAAGCCACAGACAAAATGCAAAGGCCAGCAGGCAGCACAGAAAAAGTTTAGAAACTCAGAAATACATAAAATATATGTATAGTGTTATATAATATCAACCTATATTTTTACAATAAGGTACTGCAAACACCCCATAAAAGAAAAAGAAAATTCAGATTTCTTCTCTGGTACAAAGGGAAGGCCAAAAAAATTTGACACAGATTTTTCAGATTGTGGGGAAGGAGGGGGGAGTAAGGAGGGAGGAACATCGCACCCCTAACCCCCACAACAGGGGAGGGATAACTGTAAGCTTCTTGAGGACAGGAACTGTTTCCTTTTCCCCCTCTCTTTCTGCCCATGTCCAAAGAGAACCTTGTATATCACTGGGGCTTAACAAATGTGGAGTGAATTAGCTTACTGGATCTCACGTAAACCCTTTTTGGGAAGCTCTTATGCATTGTACATTTGCAATAAGTTAGTGTACGCTAGCTTGTCTTTCAGCTTGTCTCCTGGTGTAGGTCCCACCATATCAACCATTGTTTGCATATTTTCTGCCCCGTTAGATTGTGAGCTCCCTGAAGGTAAGGACTGTCTTTTGCTTATTTTTGGATTCTTAGTGCTTAGCACAGGGCCTGGTATGTAGTAGGCACTTAATAAATGTTTACTGATTCTGACTCTTTCCCAGCAAAAGGTCTTACATACAGTTGACACTTTAAAAAGGTACTTGCTGAATACAAATGACCAGCTACCATTAAGACTAAGGACATGTATGGGGTAGGGAAAATACATTTTCACATTCCCTATGCCTGCTAAAGTCTTGAACTTCCTCCTCACCTGGGCAAGCCGCCATCACCAATGAGAATCCTGCCCAAGGGATAAAAGATGCCATGGGCAGTGACTGGCGGACTGACTTCCAGGAATCCAGTGGCATCCAGATTGTCATCATCTTCCCGTTCATGGATCACATACCCAAAGGATGACGGCTGGGAGAAGTCCCCACCCCCCAGTTAGAGAAAAAGAAGTCAGTGTTGGATAAGTGAACAAAAATCATGGTCCTATCGGTTAATGTGGGCCAGGATGTGGTTGAGAATTCAGGCTCATGAGTTGGAACTATAAGGGACCTCAGAAACCCTGGGGTTTTTGAAATCTCTTCATTATACAGAAAAAAAAAAGTGAGGCCCAAGGAGATCAGTTGATTTGCCCAAGTAAAATAACTAGTCAGTGGCAAAATTGGGATTCAGACCTAAGTCTTTTGAGCAACAGCGCTTTTTAAAAATACACACACACACACACACACACACACACACACACACACACACACACACACACACACACACAAATCTCTTTAGTTACCTTTTCCTCAAAAGTAGAAGAATAGTTTCAGAATTGGAAGAGACCCGAATGACCCAGAAGTCCTTCTACAAACACACTTGAGGACCTCTGGGGACGAGGACCTCACTACCTCCCAAGGCAATCCCATTCCACTATTCAACAACTCATTATTAATCAAAATTTCTTTTGTCTGAAGTATAAATTTTCTTTGTAACCAAGACTTTTATTATTCCTAGTTTGGGCCTCTAGGGCCTAACAGAGCAAGTTGATCTTCTAGGTGACAGCCCTTCAAATACTTTCAGATTTGCCATCTTGTTCTTACCTGACCCATCTTCTCCATTCTCCATGCTAAACATCCTTAGCTTTTCCCCCATTCTGGTCACTTTTTGCTGGATATTTTCCAACTTCTCATGTCTTCCCAAAAATGCCATCTCTAGCCCAGCATTTGGTTGGAAGAGAATTCCTGAGGTCATCTGAGACCATCCCCCCACCTCTAGGCAAGCCACCAAAGGCCAACCTCCCCTTCACCACTCTGCAGACCAAGTCAGAGAGCCCGGGTTCGAGTGTGTCCTCCCTCTGACCACTATGTACCACTCACATTTTCCCCAATCCAGACCTCAAGTTTCCTCATCTATAAAATGGAGAAAATGAACACCTTGCATCACTGACCTCATAGTGCTAGATTAAGGAAAGGGTTTTTTTTTTTAAATAGGAAAGTTGTGGATGAGTACAGGTTGTTCTTGACTTTATCATGATAGACTTGGGGAAACAATGTCAGAGCTTACTGCACCCAACCGAGCTATGTACCAGACTGTCTTTGAACTTGAAGTCTTCGAGTCCCTTGGTCCAGGGGAAGTCAAGGAAAACAGGGAAACATCGCTGAGGACTCTGGGTATACCCAATCGCCACCTCGTTCTGGGAAGGAACAAAAAGGAGCCAGCGTCCCATTTCATGTAGAATTCAGAGGTGGAAGTAACTCGAGTAATCTCCAACTCTTCCCCTGCCTCACAAACCAGTCTCTAGTCTCCCAATTGCTTCTTGGGCCCTCTCTGCCACAATTTCACAGCACCTCAAACTCAAGTAATTGTCCTCTCCCTAAACCAGCTCTTCCTCCTACCTGCCCTATTTGTGTTGGGGCACCATGTTTCCCCCCCGCCCCCCCGACAGCTAGGTTCGAAATTTCCAGAGTTCTCTTTGTAGATTTGATGAGCAAGGGATATGAGATGCCAAGAATGCAAAGGCAAAATGTGACAAGTAGTCCATTCCCTGGACATCTTATGGAATCCCAGAACTGGAGATTCAGAAGGGACCCCAGCAGCCATCTAGTCCAACTTAAACACTTTAAAAAGATCCCCATTAGAGTATATGACAAATAGACATTCAGCCTCTGCTTGGAGCTCCCCAAGGAAGGGAGCCAATACCTCCCGTGGTAGCCCATCCTGTATTTGGACATCTGTAATGGTTAATAATAATAATAACCACCACAGCAATAACAGCTAACATTTATATAGTGCTTTAAGGGTTGTGGGATGTTTTACGTCAAGCCCAAGTTTATCTTTCTGGATTTTCCAACTTGATCATGTCTTGTACCAAGCCCCTTCTCCCTAGTCCCGTTCTGGGTTGGCACGCACTACTGCAGAAGCCATCTCCCCCTCCCTAAGGTACAGGTGTGGCCGTGTCCATTTCCTGCCCAGACATGACTGCTGGCTCTCTATTCTCCCTAGGAGAAAGTAGATGCCCCATAGTTTAGACGGAATGCTGCCACCTTGCTTCGCTTGTATCTCCTCCAAGTCTGAACTCAGATCTTCCGGATTCCAAGCCCAGTACTCTGTCCACTGTGTCACCTAGCTGCCCCAAGAAACCAAGGGAAACATTTAAATATGATAAACCAACAGGTATGCGAGAGGAGGTAGATGCACTGTGCTTGGAATCAGGAAGACTCATCTTCCTGAGTTTGAATTCAACCTCAGACACTTACTAGCTGTGTCACCCTGGGTTAAGTCATCTAACCCTGTTTGCCTCAGTTTCCTCATCTGTAAAAATGGTCTGGAGAAGAAAATGGCAAAGCCACTCCAGTGTATTTGCCAAGAAAGCCCCAAACAGGATCAGAAAGAGTTGGACATGACTGAAAAACAACAAACAACAACAAATTGAAGAAGCTGGAGCAGGAGTCAGGAGAACTGGATTCATATCTCAGGGGTGCTGCTTGCTTCTTTCATGTAAGTGGGAGGGAGGAGAAATAAAAAAGCAGTTTTTATAGCACCTACTAAATGCCGGGCACTATGCTAAGTGCTTTTTTCTCCCTTAAACTACGAATATTATTTCATTTAATCCTCACAAGCATCCTGGGAGGTCAGTGCTATTATTCTCTCCATTTTATAGATGAGAAAACAGAGGCAATCAGAACTGAAGTGTCTTGCCCAGGATCACACAGCTAGTAAGTACCAGAGGCTGGATTTGAACTCAGGTCTTTGACTCTAGGTTCAGTATTCTTTCCATTGCTGTATTAGCTACCTTGTAAAGGGGAAAAACCTATTTGACCTCCCTAAGTCTTAGTTTTCTCAAACTTTGAGGTGGAGATAGTACATACATCAATTATCTTATAGGACTATTAGAAGAAGTGTGTGATGATAGCCAGTATTCTTATGGCTCTTTATATATACCATATTATTTGAGCTTGAGGTATATGTGATTATTTCCATTTTTACAGGTTGGGAAATAGAGTCCCAGAGCAGTTATGAACCTTGCCTAGGGATTTTGTAAGCCTTTAAAGGCTATAGAATCAGCTCATCATAATACCTATTGGTATCTAGCCATTGATTCAAAGTTTACATTGGGCCAAGATGGTGGAGTAAGAAGTAAGTTGCTCTTACACTCCCTTATTGACCTCTGAAAGCCCAGAAGCCAGTGACCCAGGAAAAACCCTGAGCCAGCATAAAGATGGGGTGCAGCAATCTTGTAGCCCAGAAAGCTTGGGGGATTAACAGGAAAGGCCCCTCTCGCTTGGGGGAGGGGGAGCAGTACAGGATGGGAAGCATCCCAGAAAGCCAGCAACAAGCCCCACCTCAGCATATGGGGGGGGGAGATCCTGAGACCCAGGGTGGTAGAGCAGGCAAGTGCTAACACCAGGACCCCCACCAAGAGCCTCGATACAGGCAAGGGAACTGGAAGACACCAGCTCAGAAAACTACCATGGGTGGTGGTGTTCTCCAGTAGCCAAATCACCCAGTGCCTCAGCACAACTCTGGGAAACACAACTACAGGTGGCAAAGCTCCAGGGTGACAGACATCCACCAGCAGCAAAACATCCCTGTGCGAGGCCCTGACAAGCAGAAGAAGCTTGGGTAAGTGTCCCCTTCCCTCCAGCATGGGAGCTCAATTTTTTTTTTTAAAGTCAGGAAATAGGCAAACACCACGAACAAAATGCAGCAATGGACAGTGACCATAGATTCTTATTATGGGGTCAGGGAAGATCAAGGCACAAATTCAGAAGAGGACAACGTTGTCAATATACCCACATCTGACACCTGAAAGGGGAATATGAACTGGTCTCAAGCCCAAAAAGCTTTCTTGGAAGAGCTCAGGAAGGATTTTAAAAGTCAAATAAGAGAAGTTGAAGAAAAATTAGGAAAAGAAATGAGAGGTATGTAAGAGTCAATAGCTTGGAAAAGGAAGGACAAAAGTTAACTGTAGAAAACAAGTCCTTAAAAAATACAGTTGGCCAAATGAGGGAAAAAAGGTACACTAAAGAAAACAACTCCTTAAAAAGTAGAACTGGCCAAATGGAAAAGGAGGTACAAAATCTAATAGAAGAAAACAACTTTTTAAAAATTAGAATGGGGCAAGTAGAAGCTAATGACTCTGAGAGAGCAAGAATCAGTCAAACAGAAACAAAATAATAAAAAAAAAGAAGGAAATGTAAAATATCTCATTGGTAAAACAACTGACCTGGAAAACAGATTCAGGAGAGACAATTTTAAAATTATTGGTCTACTTGAAAACCATGATGAAAAAAGAGCGTAGACAGCATCTTTCAGGAAATCCTTGAGGCAAACTGCCCTGAGGTGCTAGAACCAGAGGGTAAAATAGTCAGCAAAAGAATCCACCAATCACCTCGTGAAAGAGATCCCAAATTGAAAACATCAAGGAATATTGTAGCTAAATTCCCAAATTACCAGATTAAAGAGAAAATATGGCAAGCAGCCAGACAGAAATAATTTAAATATCATGGAACCACAGTGAGAATTATGCAGGATTTTGCAGCTTCTACATTAAAAGATCAGAGGGCATGGAATATGATACTCCATAAGGCAAAGGAGCTTGGATTACAACCAAGGATCAACTACCCAGCGAAACTGAGCTCAATCTTTCAGGGGAGGATATGGACATTCAACGAAATAGGGGACTTCCAAACCTTCCTGATGAAAAGAGCAGAGCTCATCAAAAAATTTGACCTTCAAATACAAGACTCAAGAGGCATGAAAACATAAACAGGAAAGAAAAAAAACCATGTTATTAATAAGGGCAAACTTATCCCTACAAGGGAAGATGACACTTGTAACTCTTGAGAACTGTAATGTTATGGCATTTAAAAGGGGGATACTAGAGGATATGAGTATAAGTTGACTTTGATGTGATTAAAAATGTCTAAGTGGTAAAAAGGGATTGTTCTGGGAGAAGAGGAAAGGAGGAGGCAGGCAAAGGTAAATTACATCACGTGAAAAGGCACAAAAACCTAATACAGTAGAGGGAAAAAAGGGAGGGAAAGGAGCATTGTTTGAATCTTACTCTCAGATTTGGTTCAAAGAGTGAATAATATAATCAGTTAGGCATAGAAATCTAACTTACCCTATAGCAAGTAGGAGAGTAAAGGGAAAAGAAAAGGGAGGGGGCTAATAGAAGGGAGGGCAGACTTAGGGAGGCAGTGGTCTAAAGTAAAACTCTAGTGAGGAGGGGAAGACAGAAAGGAGAGAGAGAAGCATAAACAGGAGGGGAAATGGGATGGAGAGAAAGACACATAGTAATCATAACTGTGAATATGAATGGGATGAACTCTCCCATAAAACAGAAATAGATAGCAGGATGGATTAAGAACCATAATCCTACAATATGTTGTTTACAAGAAACACATTTGAAACAGAGGGATACACACAGAGTAAAGGTAAAAGGCCGGAGCAGAATATATTATGCTTCAGCTGAAGTAAAAAAAGCAGAAGTAGTAATCCTGATCTTAGACAAAGCAAAAGCAAAAATAGATCTAATTAAAAGAGATAAGGAAGGAAACTACATCCTGCTAAATGGTATTATAGACAATGAAGTAATATTACTAAACTAAATGGTATAGCATCCAAATTCTTAAAGGAGATACAGGAAGAAATAGACAGCAAAACTATACTAGTGGGGAACATCAACCTCCCCCTCTCAGAACTAGATAAATCTAACCACAAAATAAACAAGAAAGAAGTTAAGGAGATGAATAGAATTTTTTAAAAAAATTTAAATATGGTTGCCCTCTGGAGAAAACTGAATGGGGACAGAAAGGAATATACCTTTTTCTCAATGGTACGTGGCATCTACACAAAAAATTGACCATGTAGTAGGGCATAAAAACCTCACAATCCAGTGCCGAAAGGCAGAAATATTAAATGCATCCTTTTCAGATCATGATGCAATAAAAACTACTTGTAATAAAGGGCCATGAAAAGATAGACTAAAAGTTAATTGGAAACTAAATAGTCAAATCCTAAAGAATGAGTGGGTCAAACAACAAATCATAGAAACAGTCAATAACTTCATCCAAGAAAATTACAATAATGAGACAACATACCAAACCTTATGGGATGCAGCAAAAGCTGTTCTTAGAAGAAATTTTATATCTTTAAATGCTTACGTGAGTAAAAATAGACAAAGTTTACATCAACTAGGGGCTTACTCTATACTCAAGTAATCTAAATATGACTGTCTTGTTATTAGCTTCAATTGCTCAGGCTTATCAAGGTTAATCTTCTAAATGGTTGCCCCGAGTTATCCCAATTGAGGCTCCCAATTCCCTTCCCTTCCTCCAGGGTCCTTAGTCAGGAACCAAGCCCATCTTACCCCATATAATCCACTGTCCATTCCATGCATACAGGGAGTAACCCTGCCAGCATGCCCCCTCCCCACCTCTGCACCTTGTCCCTCCCAACCAAGAGGATGGGAACATTGGGCCAGGGAGGGGAGCTCAGAGAGCTAGGCTCTTCAGACTATTGGTGTTACCCCAATCCATGTGTCAAGTCGAATTTTGTTCTTGGGGCAGAAAGTCAGCTCACAATGAGCTACGTAGGAATAGTCAAGGACGGTAGTCATGAATTCTGAATCAGGCATAGATCTGGAAGAAAGCAAAGCACCAGCAGGGTGTTATCCCATTCAACTCAAATCCCCTTCTATTAGGAAGAGTCTTATTTTTTTTTTGGGTGAGGGCTCCTATTACTTTTGTATCCATGGTTTTCAACATGAAAAAGGGTTCTTTACAAAGACTTTGGGAAACAAAGCCTTAACCAGAGCTTTAACTAACATGGTGCCACTGGGGACTTGTCCCCAGAGTGCTGTAAGTTAGATGGTGTTTACTATGCTTGTACTCCTTTAGTAATTTAGGGACAATCGAGTTTAATAACAATTTCTTAGAATAGGAAGCTTCCAAATGGGTACATGCTTCTCTTTGTTACAACCCTGGGGAGCTTTTGCTCTAGCCCTCCCACAAAAACTTGGTGTATACCAGAGTTTCTTTCTGATCACAGGGGCTGATGTCCCAGGATCTGCCTCTTCTCCCCATTCCCTTGTCCCACCTAAATTTGCCATCGTGTTGCTTGGTCTGGTCAGTCTGCAAATTCACTGTAGGCCCAAGCAATAGTCATGACTCTGCCTTTATCACCTTTCTCCTAAGCAGAGGGTCCCTTAGCACATCATGACTGGCAATCCATTTAGAGTATCAAAGCCTACTTTATCACCCCCGTCTTTCTCCTCCAAAGTCTTAGCATGTCATGGAGAAAAGCTTGCATTCTGAGAAGCCAAGCAGAGTAGAATACAAGCTTGAAAGTTTCCTTCTAGCTGGAAGGGGTTAGGGTATGAGCCCAATGGTCCATGGCTATGTACCAATCCGGCTGAGTGGGCGAAGGTTCAACAGAACATTGGCTTCCAGGTGATAACTTGTTTCACCACTTTGTTTGCTATCCATATCCATCGATGGAGGGGAAGGGGTGGGGGGAGGTGGAGGGGAAGAAGGAATATTTAGTCTTTTCCTCCTGTTCTTTGTAGGTAACTTCTTAGTTTTAATTCCAAACTACTTTTAGAGCTCTGATCTGGTCCATGGAATGAGATCAGGTGTTTCTACAGCAGAAGTCCCCTCCCTAGGCTTTCTCTGCTTGGATGAAGTTATTCTGCTGAGGGCTGACGGTCTTTAAATTCTAGCCTCAGCATTTTCCATTTCTTCCCTTCCTTCTAAAACTCAACTTTAAAAAAAGGAGGGGGCAATCTCTAGGGCCCTTGCTCCAATCCCCACATTTTCTCTCTCCCTATTTTGATCTGCTCTGAGCAAATTTAGATGTCCCAATCCTTGGCACTGGAGAAAGCCACTCTAGAATTCACGAGGCATCTCAGGTAATGGACCTGAGCTGATTAAGGAAAATTGCCAACCTGCCTGTCCCTCAACCATTCAGGTTGGAAATTGCTGTGACTTGCCAGATGTCTGAAGACCCGACCTAAACAATCTATAGACGTACTCTTGATTAGGTGAAAGCAGAGAAGATAGTTCAATTGCTTTTCAGTTGTGTCAGATTCTTCGTAATCCCATTTGGGGTTTTCTTGGCAAAGATACTAGAGTGGTTTGCCATTTCCTTCTCCAGCTCATTTTACAGATGAGGAAACTGAGGCAAACAGGGTGAAGTGATTTGCTTATGTCACCTAGCTTATGGTCACACAGCAAGTAAGTGTCTGAGGTCAGATCTGGACTCACAAAGATGAGTCTTCCCAACTCCAGGCCCAGTGCTCTAGCCACTGAGCTACCTACGTTAAGACTCTAAACCCTAGAACAAACCTGTTTCTTCTTGATTTTGTCTTCGATGACCCCGTCAGCCACCTGATAGGCAGTTTACCTTTGGTGTACTTCCAAAATCTCCAAGGATACAGGGGCCATTGCTTCAATGTGCTGGAAGGGAAAGCAGGAGAACAGCTCCAGGTTTGGGCTCCCATGTGCCAGGCAGTGGGAGTCACTGGGGCTTTAGAGACAAGAAACAACAGTCCCTACCCTCAAGAAGCTTACATACTTGAGGCAGGGGAACATGCATTCGATATACTTAAACGCATGCACATGTACGATCACTTGCACACATGTACGCATGTATACTTGTATGCCTATATGTATATACATGCATGTGTGTCTTTATGTACATGTATGTGTATTGTGCATACATGTATATCTAGATAGAAAAATAGACACATACGCACAGATACCTACACATAGAATAAATACAGAATAATTTGGAGGAGAGTATGAATGGACAAGACCACCTATTGGCCAAGGCTCCTAGGAAGAGCACAGTTCATTCTAATGGGGTCCCCAGGTGGCGGGGGGGGTCATTAGAAAGCTCTTTGTCCCACACATTGGCACAGAGAGCCATGGGGCTGAGGCTAAGGCAGGAGGAAGAGGAATCGCCAGAGGTTTACTGGGGCCTCACTCTTACTTGGTCATATAGATCTCCACGGGTGGTTGGGTGTTAGCAGTCATGATCCATGGTGCCACACGGAAAACCAATCCTACATTATGAATTGGAGGTCCAGAGACTTTCTATGGGAGGCAGGACAAGACTGGGGTGTAGTAGAAAGCTGTTAACCTTTAGAGTTATAGAAAGCCTAGGTTCATATCCCTGCTCAGCTACATCCTAGCTGAGCAAGTCATTTCTGGGTCTCTGCTCCTTTATCTGTAGGAAGAGGTGACTTCTAAGATCCTTTCCAACTTAAAAATCTAGAATCCCAAGTGGCCAGCTCTCAAGCACTCACATATTCACTGGAGGCTGGAATCAACCCATCCTTCCTGAGTTTTTCCTTCCCGTTTCTCCCCAGCCCCTTACATGGGATGACTTCTTAAATCCTATCTGCCCTACCCCTGTGTTGAGCTCTCTCTCCAACTTGCCCTCCAGACTTCACCAACCTCCCCCACTACCTAGTCCAGTGCCCCATTCCCACACGTACCCCGTAAGAATTATCCAAAAGGGAGACGGTGAAAGACACCAACCCAGAGAAGTCAGCATCTGGGAAGGAAAGCGCTTCCACATAAAATTTCCGTCTTTCTCGGTTTCTCAGATGTGTGAGAACATGGGAAGGTTTGTTTGGCCCCAGTACCATTCTGTAAGGAGGATTTATGGTGGGTCCTAGGAGAAGGAAAGCATGAGGCGGTTACAGGGGCAGTTCCCTGGTTCTGAGTTGGGGGTGTGGGGCAAAGCGGGACATCCCACCGAACTTTCCCGAGTTCAGTGGCTCATTGCTACCCTAAGATAATGGAGTCAGTCTTCCAAACCTTTGGGCCCATTGGGATGAAACTAAAAAGTTATTCCTTAGCTACCGATAGCTCTTACAGCTGTTGTATGATGACTGTTGACCAACGGGTCAAAGAGGAGTGTGGGTGTGTGTATAGCTTCTCCTTGAAGCCAAGCAAGAATACCTGGAATGACATCCCCTACAAAAAAGGCATTAGATTGTAGAGGGCCAGCTAGTTTAAACCATAGTCTCCATTTCACCCCACTACCCCCAGAGATGATTTGCCCCAGGTCACAAAATAGAAGGATGCTTTACACCAAGGACCAGTTCAGCCTCCTCAAAATTTAAGGTGCATGTCACTGTATTGTTAGAGTGACCTGGTGGTGATCAGGGATCTTTGCGCGTTAGACTGAAGGTATTGTTAGCAGCTATGTTCCTAGGCCTGTGGGTTTCCCTTCAGGAGCCGTATCCAATGACTGTCTGCTTACATTGTTTGAGGACCTTCATAGGCTTACAGCTTGCTTCCTTATGTTGGACATTTCTTGGTATATTACCCCCCTCCCCAACCCTTTCTGGTTTAAATGGACTGAGCAATTTGGGCTAGTGATTATAGGGGAAGACACAGAACAGGTGAAGAGGAAGGTCAGGTTGGGACAGATTACAATAGTGATGAAGGTGCATTTACTCTGGGTTCCCTTTTTTGAGCTCCAGATATTCTGTTTAAAATAAATAGTGGGTGGGCTGTGGTAGCATTGGGTTAAAAACTCACCCAAACCAAAATAACAAAAAAAAAAAAACAACTTTTTTTTTTTAGTGGTCCTTGGAAGACCAAGATGGAAAAGCCTCAGCTTTACAAATAACTGAATCAGCAAAAAGAAATTCTCTGATCTCAGGAGAAGAAAGGGAAGGATGAACTTTACCTTTCTCCCCTCTTCCCCTCCCTGAGGTCTAAGAGCTGAATTTAGGGTAGTTTGAGGCAGTTGGGGGAATGGAGGAAGAAAGCAAGAGAAGCTGGCATGACTGCTTGTAGATGTTTTGGGTTTGGTTTTTTTTTTTAAAGAAGCCTGAAAAATGACCAGTAAGTGATGTGTAGTTGGAAGACTAGGAGACAGGATAGGTGACTCCAGTCTATTCTGCCACTTTGAGGCATGGGCAAGGCATTCACTCTCATCTGTTAAATGAGAAAGATGAACTTCATCAGGAATTCTTAACCTGGGGTTCACAGATCCCCAAAGTATCTGGAGATAGATTTCAAGGAGTTCATGAACTTAGAGGGGAAAAAAGGTCATTTTTGTTTTCCATGAAACTGCTGAAATTTAGCATTTCCTTCAAACATAAAAATTATAGAAACATAATTATAAGAATATAAGCATTTATGATATAGTAATAATGTAATTACAATTTATGTATGTATATACATGCATGAGCATACACACACACAACACACACACACACACACACATACAATAGCTGGCATGTGTATGGGGGCAGCTAAGTGGTACCATAGTGCTGGGCCTGGAGTCAGAAAGACTCATCTTCCCAAGTTCAAATCCAGCCTTAGACACTAACTAGCTGAATGACCCTGGGCAAGTCATTTCACCCTGTTTGCCTCAGTTTCCTCATCTGTAAAATGAGCTGGAGAAGGAAATGACAAACCTCTCCAGTATCTTTGCCAACAAAACCCCAAATGAGGTCATCAAGAGTAGGACACCACTGAAACAATTCCACAACAAAAGCATGTGTATAGTGCTTTGATGCTCTCAACACTTCAAAATATCTCATTTTATCTTCCCAAATCACCCTGGAGGGGAAGGTGCTATTCTTATACCCAAATAGACAGAGCTTAGGTAACCTGTGCAGGGTCACAAAGCCCGGAGGCATCTGAGGATGGATTTGAACTCCAGTCTTCATCTACATCTAGTTGCCTATCATTACTTTAAAATACTATGTTGAGAAGAGGTCCATAACACACAAAAAGATAGAGAACCCCTGGGCCAGATGTTTAAGGTCTTCCCATGACACTGAATCTGAGCTCAGTTTAGTACTGTAACTAGGGATTGAGTAGAGGGATCTGAAGATAGACATCTTTGGGTATAAAATTTGAGCCAGATGTGACTTTTCAGAGCCCAATGCCTTTTACAAATAAGGGAACTGAGATCAGGAACCTTGCCTCCACTCACAGGGACAGCTAGCAGCAGAGACTGACTTTGAACCAAGGATCTTTGATCCCAAATCTAGCCCTCTTTCTACTACACCTCTTTTTCGTCTTCGGCTGGCTCATGTCTTACAAAACTGGTCTTTCACCCCACTTAAATCCTCCCCCATTGTCACCCAGTGGTAGGTTCTCCTGAGAACCCATCTTCTACCCCTCTGACAGCATGAAGAAGCCCACTGTTAGTTAGCCTTTGTGATATTGTCCCCCTCCTCAGCACCAAAAACAAGCCTGCAGGTAAAGGATTCCCAGTTATAATTATCTTCTTTCTTTTGTCACTGGACTTTTGGTCCAAGTGATGGTATATATGCAAAGCTTAGGGTTCTTTGGAGAAAACCTTTGGCACAACCAGAACTCAAATTTGTCAGTGCAAGAGTTGCCCAAGCCATTCTGTCTAACAGGCCTCTCACTCCCACCTCCCTATTGCACAGGGTCCTAAATTTCAAGTTGGAAAGACCTTGGAGGTCATCTACCCCACCCTCATTTTGTAGAAAAGGGAGATGAACCCCAGGAAGTCACTCCCAGGCAGCGAGGGGCCAAGTCTCCACATGGAGCCTGGTCCTGTGGTTCCTAGTCTTCTCTCTTTTTTACTACGGCCCCACGTTGGGTCCCAAAGACCAAAAGGATACTCACGTTCAACTCCGAAGAGTCTCACTTTGTTTGGGTGAGAACAATTAATAGTTAGTTGATGGGTGTTGAAAAATCCAAGTGGGGAATGTATCCTCAAGAACATTTTTGACATTCGATGAATAGCTGGGGAAGGGAAAAGAAGAAGCTAGCTCCTGAAGGCCCAAGGGTAACCCTCCCGACTTAAGCATCTACTTGAACTCTTTGTGATATAGGGAGCTCATTCTTTCAAAGTATCTGTAGTCCATTTTTAAATAGCCTTAATTATTAAAAAGGTCAATATCCCCAACCTTAATCTCAGAAGAAGACTCCTCCCCTTCCCTCCCTCCCTAGATTCGGTGCCTCTACTTCCAGGGGCCTCAATCTGGAACACATAAGCTGACATTTAGACCCATCAGGATTGTCAGCTTTTTTGAGCTTACAGCCTTGCACATGGGGATGTCATATGGGACAGTGGAAAGGGTTCTGAATTTGGAGTCAGAAGACCCAGGTTTGAATCCCGTCTCTGCCATTTTACTACCTGTGCTCCCTTGGGAAAATTATTTCCACCTCTCTAGGTCTCAGTTTCTTCATCTGTAAGATAGGTGGGGATCTAAGGGAACCTCCAACTCCAGACCTATAAGACCTATAGGAAGCCCTCATCCCTGCCCTACTTAAGCAGTTCTCTCTAGCCTCTAGGATAGGATGTAAACTTCTGTTCATCTCTTCCAGCCTTTCACAGCCTAGCTCCAGACTTAATACCCTCTCCTTTCCTCACTATGTCCTAGAGCTCATCTCCAAGGCTTTTTGGTCATCTACTACCACTGAAAAAATTTGCTCACTTATCCAATATATGCATACCTTCAAATTGTATACATATGCTACTGTGTAAAACTTACATAAAAGTCAACATTTTAAAATGGCAAGGTGAAATAACATTTGATCTTGAGAATTATTAGGGGACTGTTGGAGTTTATTAAATAGGGGTGTGATGTGATTACTTACATTTTGGGAAAGTGACTTTGGTGGGCTGTGTGGAGGGTGGATTGGAGAAGAGGAACTTCAGGCATGGGAATCAATCTAGAGACTTTGTTATAATTTAGGCAAGTGATTAGATTAAGGTGGTAGCCAAGTGAAAGAAGGTGACAGACACAAGATGCTGAAGGTGTATAAAAGACAAGATCTGGCAGCCAACTGGATACATGAAGGGAATGAAACGAAGAAGAGTTTAGGGAGTCATTGAAGTTATGAATCTTGGTGTCTAGAAGTATCCTTGAAATAGTATAGGAAGGTTGGGAGAAAAGATATTGTAAAGAGATTCATAATGGAGGGCACAACCCATCCATGCCTTCTCAGCCTTGGTGACTTACTTTGACCTATTGAAAATGAAAAGGAGGGACAGCCTTTTCTTACAACCCCCTATACAAACACAGGGCCTGCTCCTTCAGGTACCTATTGTGGCCACAAGGTAATCTGGGTGGGGATGAGGAAGGGATGCTGGGTGGAGAATTTCACCTGTAAAGACGCGAGAGAGGTTATGGTTGTTCTTCTTTCCATCCCTCACTTGGTCTTGGAGGGCTTATGTTAAATCTAAACTTATGTTTTTCAAAGTTTGCTTATACTTCTATTTAATAAGTACGAAAACCACCTTAGATAAAGCTTGGTCAGTCATAGCTGCTTCTGATCTGTGTGCTTCACTACCATGAAAAGGAAATCAGAGAGAGAGGCAGTAGGTGAGTAAGGTACACAGATATGAAAAGAAGGGAAGGAATATAGATTGTTTGGATTATTGGGGGCTCCTGAGCCATATGAAAGAGAATCTATTCACATATAGCTTCACAAAGTTGGGTAAAGAATGCATGGGATTGCATTTTATCTCTAGGCTGAAAAACAACAACCCTACTAGTTTCTTTTAATAGCTAGCATTTATATAGAACTTTAAATTTTGCTAAGCAATTTATAAATATTTTCTCATTTGATCCTCATAACAACCCTGCAAAGTGGGTGCTATTATTATCCTTTTTATACAGATGAGGAAACTAAGGCAGAAAGGTTTATTTGCCTAGGGGGTCACACAGTAAGTGCCCAAGTAGATTTGACCTCAGTTCTTCCCAACTCCAGGATTAGTGCCCCATTCACTGTGTACCCAACTGCCTCTAAATTAGTGATTTGGCTTGCACGGTTGGGCTTGGGGTTTACTTTAGTGGTTACAGCCTTTCACTTCATTGTTCTCCTCTCTCAAATGTGCATCAAAATCCATTGTGGTTTTTTTTTCCTTATTTGGGAATGCATTTGCCATTCCCCTAGGCTGTAAGTTCCTTGAGGTCAGGGTTTTCATTTGACTTTGTATCCCCAGCACAACACCTGATGCATTATCAATATCTGATTAATGCCTATTGATTGAATCCAGACTTCCAATTCTAAACTGAAGATTTTTTCCTTTGTCCTCCTCTGCCCCTACCCCAAGTTTTTTTTTTTTTAAACACAAGAGAAACTTTTTATTCTAGATGGGGATAGAGGTAGATTATGCAGCACTTTGAATAAATTTGCTGAATAAATTGACTTTGCTGTCCTTAGGTTGGGCCCAGTCCAAGATTAAGGCTGCTCCCCAGAATGGGAGATGCAGCAAGTTACCTTTTTTGTCAAGAATTTCTTCTTCATATTTCTCTGTGTCGGGTGGGTATTTATTTTTGCATCCACAGTTCACAAGCATGATGGGCCCCCGCCAGGGGGAAAAGGTTCTTCCCTGAAAAGACAAAACATGGGCTCCAAAGGACCGTCCCCCCACCCCAGACTTATGAAATGAGTCCTGCTTGTAACTCTACCTGGACCCAGAAAGACTAAATATTGGGTGAGGGGAAGAGAATGGGCATTTAAACATCTATTATGTGCCAGACACAGTGCTAAGCACTTTATAAATATCTCATTTGAGCCTCACAACAACCCTGGGAGATAGGTACTATTATTATCCTCATTTTACAGTTGAGGAAACTGAGGCAGACGGTGAAATGACTTGCTCAGGGCCACACAGTAAGTGTCTGAGGCTGTATTTGAAGCCAAGTCTTCATGACCTGTCTAGCATACCACACAGCTGACTATAATTTGCTTTATATATAATTCAGAATTTAGGAAAATCTAGCTAGTAACTCAAAGGTAGAATTTTCAATATAGGTATCAAAGAAAATAACCCTATCATACTCAAATATTTCTCCTTGCCTTCCTTTATCCAGAGATCCTGGACACCCCTGCCTCCTCAAAGCAGTAGAATAACTGATATACATGGGGTTTTTTTTCCCAATATTAGCTAAGCCTTTTACATACTTGTTTGATTGTAAACATAGAGGGCCGTAATGCCCTTCATCTGGATTTCAAATCTAGCCTCAGACACTTATTAACTGTGTGACCCTGGGCAAGTTATTTCATCTGTTTGCCTCAGTTTCCTCATCTGTAAAATGGGGAGAATAATAGCACCTGTCTCCCAGGATTGTTGTGAGGATCAAATGAGATAATTGTAAAGTACTTAGCACAATACCTGGTACATAGTAAGTGACATATGTTAGTTATTAATATGATTAGTTTCTTCTCTACCCTCCTATGACTGTCCCTTCCCACCAACTCCTCTCCCTTCTCCAAAGAGCACTCCCTTTTAACAAATACAAGGTGTCCCAAAATTCACCAAGGCTTTTGAGATACCATGTATTTCTTTTCATCCATTCTTTCATTTGAACCTCCAACCATCTCTACAAAGTGGGTGACTAGAGACATTAGGAGCCCCGTTTTTTCTTATGGGTGGGGAAAATGGAGCCTGATAGAGTCAACTGAAAATGTTCAGGGTTACATACCTAATGATTGTCAGTGGCAGAATTTGAACCAAGGAACAACTCCAAAGCCCAGGACTCTAGATGGTTTTTTCATGCTGACTTTTCCCCCTAGTGGATTCCATTAATATGGTTCCGAACTCGGGGTCTGTGAGTTTTTATCTTTTTCCAAAAACTATTTTAAGAACCAGATTTAATATAATTTGTTTTCTATGTAATCTTATATATTCTATGTATTTAAAAACATTATTTTGAGAGAGGTCCATAGGCTTCACCAAACTGCTGAGGGGATTCAGGACGTGCAAAAGATTCCAAATTACTAGTCCATGAGTTTTCTTTCTAGAGTATGCCTACTTCCACTTGAAGGAAAAGCCCTAGCCGCTGTACCTTATGCATCTTCTTTCCTTCTTGGCTCTTCACTTTGTCTTGGTAGTTTTCCACTGTCAGAGAGATAGCTGGAAAAGGAAGCAAAGGATGGTGAGGGGCAGCCCGGGGCTGCTCTGGGGCCAGGAACACTCTCCCACTGATCTCTCAGAGCCAGAGAAGGAGACCTCCCAGCCCATCCTTCTTCTAGTAAGGCTAAAAAGTGCTCCAAGGTCTATTTTTCCCAGAGGCTGCATATCTTGGGCGTCTCTTTGGCCCCAAGTCAAGGAATGGAAAAGGACTTTACACAGATAAGGCTTCAACCAGTACCTAAATAGGAATCCTCTCAAGATCCCCACTTGAAGACCTAGAGTGACAAGGAGGTCTTGAGACAGTCCTTTCCACTCTTGGATAGCGCTAATCATTAGGAGAATTTTCTAGTATTACCACTAGAAGTTTGCATCTTCATAGGATGATAAATAGAAGAACTCTACGGGCCTTCCCAGAACACACCAGCCCCTTCATTTTATACACATAAAACCTGGGGATGAGGCAAGTAAAGTTCTAAGTTCCCATGTTAAGAGGAAGACTTGTCTCCCCAAGTTCAAATCTGACTTCATTTACTAGCTCTGTGACCCTAGGCAAGTCACTTATCTCCATTTTCCTCAGTTTCCTCATCAGTAAAATGAGCTGGAGAAGGAAATGACAAACCACTCCAGTATCTTTGCCAAACGCGGTCATGAAGAGTTGAACACAATGAAAATAACCCAACAATCTCAACTAAGTCTTCCTTATGCTAAGGCAATCTTTTTTCTTCTCCTTAATTGAGTCATATTGTACACAAGGATTGTTCCAAAACTTCTCTTCTCTCAAGTCTCCCACAAGTACTCCCCATCTCTCAGCAGATGACTCAGCAGTCTCATACTATACCAGGAAAATAGGCTATTGGCCACCAATTTCTTCTCCCATAAAATCTTAGTACAATATGTCATTTCCTCCCCCCCCCCCACCATTTTCCCCTTATTTACTCTAAGCTCTGATGAAAATATGTTCTTTCTAAATATTGGGAGAGGGGAAGGGAAAGGTTGCAATCTTTCTACTGATACTTTGGATTCCCATCCCTTCTGGCACATTTCTCCGAAGACTATCCTCTTTCATTAGTCTTCATTCTATCCCTACTAGTTCAGTCCTTGCTTCTACAAACAATTTTAATGAGGCATTGGGGAAGGGTGTGGGGAAGGAAGACATGGTCCAATCAACTCAATTGCTGTAACCCACTATTCAGTCACACCATAAAAGATTAGCAGGGAAAAGATCAGATACCTAGTTGCAGCTATGTTTAGGGGTAAAATTCTTTACCTTCTTTGCTTAAGAGGCAATCACAAAAAAAAAAAATACTAATGACAACAAAATTGAATTTTTCATTAACCAAATCAATATAACTTGGATAGGAAGGATCAGTTATAGAAAGCTTTACATCAAGTATCTGATGAGGGTTAAATATTCAAGATAAAGGGAACTAATTTGACATACAAGACTAAAAGTCATTCCTCAATGGCCAAGAGCTCAAAGGATATGAACAAAGGATTATCAAAAGAACTGAAAACAGCGTATTAATCTTATGAAAGATTGTTCCAAATCACTATTAAGAGTGAATTAACAGCCTCAGACACATAACACTTACTAGCTGTGTGACCCTGGGCAAGTCACTTAACCCCATTGCCTAGCCAAAAAAAAAAAAAAAAAGAGTGAATTAAAAGATGTATCTCTTCTTGGCAATTCAACAAGACAACTCCAAAGGACTCATGATGGAAAATGCTGCCCACATCTAGAAAAAAAAGAACTATGGAGTCTGAATACAGATTGAAGCATACTATTTGTTCTTTTTCCTTTTTTTTTTTTTTTAGGTTTTTTTCTCTTGGTTTCACCCATTGGTTCTAAATCTTCTTTACAACATGACTAATGTGAATATAGGTTCAATATGAATATAGAGAGCCTATATCAAAGTGCACACCATCTTGGTGAAGAGGAAAGATGGGGAGAAAATTTGAAACTCAATCTTATGGAAGTGAATGTTGAAAACTGAAAATAAATAAATTTAAAAAACTGAATTGCAGTACAAAAAAAGAGTGAATTAAAACAACCCTGAAGTTTCACCTCACACTGGACAAATTGGCAAAGAGGACAAGACATGGGAATAGCCAACACTGGAGGCACGAAAAGTTGGTAAATAATCCTTCCAGAAAACACAATTTGAAATTAAGTTTAAAAAGTGACAAAAGTGTCAATTTTAGTCAAAAAAAAAAAGATTAAAGAAAAAAGAAATGCTCCACTTTGGCAAGAAAGACTATAGGAAAAATGAGATTAACAGACCTGGTTCTATCACTCTGGATCCTAAGGGTCCTCTAGGTTCTGAAACAGAATCGGGACCACTAGAGAGAAGATACTCGGAGAAAAGAAAACTTCCTCATGTTCTTATTTCTGCCTTAGCCATCTACTTTCATACATAAACATTCAGAAAGTTAGAAGATATCTACTGAAGCCTGTACCTTGAAAAGAATCTCTTGTACCATAGACCCAAGAAGTTGTCCAATCTCTACTTGAAGGCCTCCAAATGAGAGGAAATCCATGATTCCCAGAGGCAGCTCATTCTACATTGGGTGTCCTCTAATTAGGTTTCTCTTTACATCAAACTTAATTTTGCCCCTTTGCATTTTCTATTTGTTGTCTCTAGTTCTGCCTAGTGATACTACCAAGGCAACCAAGACTAATTTTTTTTTTAGGCAATTGGGGTTAAGTGACTTGCCCAGGGTCACACAGCTAGTAAGTGTGAAGTGTTTGGTCTGAGATCAGATTTGAACTCAGGTCCTCCTGACTTCAGGGCTGGTGATCTATCCACTGCACCCATAGCTGCCACCTAATTCTTCTTCTTGATAGCCCTTCAAACACCTGGAAGCAGTTATGTTTCTCTTCCTTGTCCAAATCTTTGATTTGTTTGAATAGCCTCAACCAGTCCTCAAATGATCTGCTTTGAATTCCTGTGTTCTCTGGCTTATCAATGTTCTTCCACAAGTATGATGCCCAGATGTGGTCCAACCTGGGAAGGGTATATTGAGGCTATTGTCTTCTTAGTCTTGTGATTTAATCCCACCTTGGGCTAGCTATGCTACCAAGGATGAGTCACTTCCTCTTTCAGAACCTCAGTCTTCTAATCTCTAAAAATGGGAATAACTATAGTAGCTACCTCACAGGCATGTTGTAAAGTTCAAATGAGAATGTCTGTAAAGAGCTTTATGAAAATCTGACAAAGCCTAAGGCTGCATTAGCTTTCTTGGCTAATCCATCACACTGTTAATCCGTATTGAGCTTGCTGTCCACTAAAACTCCCTAAGTCTTTTCAGAAAAAAAAAAAAAGGAAAAGAAAGACTAATCTGGCAACATTTCCCCTTGTACTCTCAGATTCCATGACCCAGAACAGCCTAAGGGAAGCAGATATCTTGGGAGGAGTTGTCATCTGAGGAAAGGTAGAAGATGACCCGACCTCTCCAAACTACCCTTTGGCATGTTCATCCTATTCCTTCATTGCCTGTGGGAGCCATTGGGAACTACCATCCACCCTTCCAGCCCTCTTCTCAAATTTAGGCATTCCTTCCAGTGCCTCCATTTTGAGACAAGCTCACTCAGGCTGGCCAACCTTTGTTCTCCTCCAGCTGGACCGTGATATCACACCTCAGCAGCTGCAGTCTCACTCTGGAATACCCCCACACCCTACTAGTCCCCTTCTTCCAATGGTGACGCCGCCTCCATTCTGGGCAGAGGCCCAGGCCAGCCAACCACTCTTCTCCTCCTGGCTCTGCCTTTCACTTTCTGGACCACAACACTATGTCTGTATGCGAGTACCTTCATCCCCAGTCCCTACTTTTCAGCTTCCTTTCATGTGTAATCTTCCTCCATTGGAATAGAGGCTCCTTGAAGGCGGGGACTATTTCTTTTTGCTTGTGTTTGTACCCCCAGTGCTTAGCAAGGCCCTGGAATCCAGTAGATACTTAATGACTGCTCGTTGCAGTGCCTTCATTCATGCCGACGCCCTTCAAAAGGTCACTGACCAACCGTGATGTTCCCCATGTGGACACAAGCCTTCACTCTACAGCCAGTCCTTCCCCTGCCCTCCCCTCCCTCAGGCTGCCCAAGCAAAACCTGTGCTTGCAGTCAATTTCTTATTTCTCATTCTCTTTACCCCTTTAAGCTGGTTACTCACAGACACAGGTGACATTCATCATAGCCACGTGGTCGGAATGTTCTTCTCCACTTTTAAAGTAGGTAATTTTAACCTGTGAAGACACCAATATTTGTTTTGTTTTGGTTTTTGCTAGGCAATGGGGCTGTGGCTTGCCCAGGGTCACACAGCTAGTAAGAGTCAAGTTTCTGAGACCGGATTTGAACTCGGGTCCTCCCGACTCCAGCGCCAGTGCTCTATCCACTCTGCTACCTAGCTACCCACCTCACACCAATATTTCAGGGATGGGCTATGTCTATAGTTTCCAGGTCCATCACAATAGAGCTTGAAGCAGCTGGATACTACTAGAGCAGTCTGGCTCCAAATGATCTTTCCCCATTATTCTCTTGTGTATACTCTACATTCCAGAGAAACGCGCTTATTGGTTAGTTCCCTGGAGATGACATTCCATCTCTGTGCCTTTGAAGAGGCTATCCCCATACCTAGGCCATTTTCTGCCCCAACAGAATCCTTAGTTTTCTTCCCAACACATATCAGGTACTACCTCCTGGTCTTTCTAGACTCCTGGCGCCTTCTCCTACATTACTTTGCATTTACTCTCCCTATTTTGAGAAGTAGATTGGTACATTGAGAAAAGAACCAGCCAGGCAGGCCAGATAGTTTTAAGTCAGAGTTACCCTCATTTTACAGTTGAGGAAACAGAGGCAAACAGAGTCCAGGGTCACACAGCTAGTATGAGTCTGAAACCAGATTTGAACTCAGTTCTTCCCAATTTCAGATCTAGTGCTCTAACCACTTAACAGCATATTCAATATGGAAAGAACCTGGAACTATAGTTGGGTGACCTAGATTCCAATTCCAAGCTCTGTTTTACTAACTAGATGTGTGATCTTGAATACATTTCCTTTCCTCCCTGGCTTCAGTTTCCCTGTCTGCAAAATTAAGAGATTAAAGTAGATGGTGTCAAAAGGTCCTGGAAGCTCTAAAGCCTGTAACACCTTTAACTTTGGGTCAGTGTCAAGGCTCTGACCTGGGACTTCTCTCAATATGCTCCATCATGAAAGGTCTCATCAACTCCACTGGGGTTCAATTATTTCTATGAAAAGTATTCAATTTATACATCTAGTCCATTTCTCTTGGGGTCTGGTATTATAATTACCAACTACATATTGGACAGCTTTTTGATGCCCTTCCTAAATGTGGTGCCCAGAGACCACAGTCCAGCTCTGGGCGGAGCAGGGCCTATCCTTTTCACTTGTCCTGGACATGGTATCTCTTGGAAGGGTGGGATTGTAGGACCTAGCATCCAGTGAAAAGCAAGTTACTGGATGGATAAAGGTTTGCCCAAGCAGTGATTTCCCCCATGTCTCCTGTGACCCATCATAACTTACCCAATCTGAAAACATCTTAGAGCTGGGCGCGAGTGCCTTAAGGATGAGGCGGCAGGATGGTTGCAGGTACCATCTGCTGGGATGTCCAGAGAAGGAAAAGTTGAATTTCGTACCTTCCACATTGTAAAGGAGTCCTTCAGAAGTTGAGGCTTCAAAGGTCTTATAACCCTTAGGGGCAAACCTGATGTCAGAAACAAAGAGAATGAGACCCGGTTAAGTAGGCAGGGCCATGGTTTCATTCTCTACCCTTCCCACAAGGTTTTGGTCCTAAGAGAGCCAGCCAAAGGAAACCTGAGGCTTATGAGTACAGCATGGTGGACTTGGAATCAAGAGACTTGAGTTCTAGTGTTAACAGGTTCTGTAGATAGTATGATAGATGAATGAGTAAGTCACTTCTCTGTCTCTAGTTCTTTATTCCTTATCTGTTAATAGAGAGGGCTGAGCTTGGTCTTCAAGGCATCTCCCAGCTCCAAGATCTCCATGTCCATCCCAGCCAAGCCCAGAACAGGAATTGCATCCCAAGTGGAACTGGGCTGTATTAAAAGTTTTTGACAATTTCCTTTGGGGTTTTTCCTGGGCTTGCCTTGGTCCTCCCTCCAAGGTTTGTGGGCAGATTTGACTTTGGGTTCTCTCATTCCAAATCCACTACCCGTCCTACCACGGCATCCTGCCTCTCACCCGGTGCTAACAAAGAGTCATCAGGAAGCCCAGGGCCCAACACACCCACATGGGCAGCAGTCTGCTGTCCCCAGAGCTCTAGAGAGTTTCAGAACGTCAGAGCCCGAAAAAGCCTTGGAGGCCATTTGGTACAGCTCCTTCATTTCACAGAAGGGGAAATTGAGACTCACCATAAATGGAAGTAATGTATTCACTGGTCCTACAGCTAGCCCAGGGCAGCCTCAGACATTCTAAACATTCTCAGGCCATGCATCAATAACATAACACCTGGGCTATCAGTCCAGGGAAGCTCCCTTGCTCTTACCTCACAACATCAACAGATACCGTAGTGCCCATTGGGCACACTCTCTTGATGGGACGCTCCAAAGACGTAGGGTAAATCCTCTTTGGAAGTTGCCTGAGTCTTTCAGATTCCTTACTCCGAACCTGCTGGGAGTCCGTGTTTGCCCCCCAGGAGACCATATTTCCTTACCTTCAAGTGGCCCCTTCAAGATCATTTGAAGTTAGCAGAGAGGGCCAAGAAACAAAGCCCTAGGCTTCCTGTTATAGGCCTCAGTCAGTAGACCCACCTGTAGCCCCTTCACCTCTAATTAAGGGAATAATCAATCATCTACCCAGGTGTTCTCCATCTTTCTTAGGGCTTAAGTGATTGAAGAGCACGGTCAAGGAATAAGAAGAGGAAGACAGGTGGAAATATACGCATGGTACCTTCCTCTTTTCTCTTTTCCTGGCAGGGTGGAGCAATTTATTACAAAAATGCTGTGGTGGCAGCTTTGTTTCCTCTAGAGCTCTTGGGAACTTAGATTCTTAGGTTCTTTATTCTCATATTGGGCATTAGATGGGACCCTCTGCTCTCTAGAACTTCATATTCTCAGTGAAAGCAGTCAGGACTCCAGGAAGCAAAAGATCCGGATAAATTAACCTGCCCACACCCACAGGTGCTTTAGATGATCAGGAGTCAATTTCCAGAGCTGGCCAGGCTGAGGAGCTGTGACATGGAGTCAGGAAGGCCCTGAAACACCACCCTGTGTGACTTTCCTCATCTGTGCCTACCTCACAGGGGCTGTTGTGGGCATCAGATGAGTTAATGTACGTAAAGCACTTTGCAAACCTCAAGGCATCATGTATTTATTATATAATGATGATTATTATTTGGCCATCAACCCTGGGACTTTAGACAAGACAACCCCTAAGGCCCTTTCGGGTCAAACAATTTTTGTTCTAAGGCCCCTTCTAGGTCTGATATTCTGTATTCAAAGTTCCCTTCTAGATTTGACATTCTGTATTCCAAAGTGTTTTCTAGCCCTGACATTTCATGTTCTAGATTTTTCCTAGTTTTTATGTTCTAAGTTCCCTTTCAACTTGAAAGTTCTGTTGTAACATTCTATATTCAACGGTCCCTCCCAGCTCTGACATGATTATGTTCTAAGGCTCCTTCTGGCTCTGACATTCTGTGTTCTGGGGGCTCTTATTCAGTCGTGTCTGACTCTATGAACCTTTTTCTTGGGGGGGAGGTTTCTTGGTGAAGATACAGGAGTGATTTGCTATTTCCTTCTCCAGCTCATTTTACAGATGAGGAAGAGAGAGGGGTTGTAGACAGTGTCAAAAGAGCCAAGGTGGGGGAGGTGTTAAGGAGAATTTCCCACCTTGGAAGGGAGAGAGTCCCCTGTCAAGGGAGGTCTTCAGGTAATAGCTGTATGACTGGTGAGTGGTTTTTGTTGGTTTTTTTTTTTTTTTTGCTTTCAGGCAATTGGGGTTAAGTGACTTGCCCAGGGTCACACAGCTAGTAAGTGTCAAGTGTTTGGTCTGAGGCCGCATTTGAACTCAGGTCCTCCTGACTTCAGGGCCGGTACTCTATCCACTGCACCACCTAGCTGCCCCTGTTGTTTTTTTTAAAGATGAAGAATTTGACGTATTTGTAGGTAAGAGAGAGAGAGATAGAGAGAGAGAAAAGAGAGGAGAGAGAAGGAAAGAGAAAAGAAAGAAGAAAGAGAGAAGAGAAGAGAGAGAGAGGAGAGAGAAAAGAAAAAAAGGAGGAGAGAAAAAGGAGAGAGAGAGAGAGAGAGAGGAGAGAGAGAGAGAGAGAGAGAGAGAGAGAGAGAGAGAGAGAGAGAGAGAGGAGAGACAGCAGACATCTAAGGGCACAAGGTGAAGTTTGGATGATGATTCAGCAAAGGAGGTTGAGAAGGAGCAGTCATATTGGTAGGAGAACTATGAAAGAATAGATTCCAGAGAACCTAGAGAAAAAACTTCCATTTATCATCACTATCCTCTCCTCCAGCCTCTTATGAGATGGTCCTTCTAGGCAAGGCAAATACCTCTATTTTTGTCCTTTGATACTATCTTGAACCTTTCCTCTCCAGTCTCTTCTAAGAGTATCCCTCAATAATGTCCTCCTGTCCTCTTCCTTTCCTCTCCTCTCCTCTTCTTTGCTCTCCTCTCCTCCCCCTCCCCTCTCCTTTTCTCTCTTCTCCTCTCCTCTTCTTTGCTCTCCTCTCCTCCCCCTCCCCTCTCCTTTTTCTCTCTTCTCCTCTCCTCTTCTTTGCTCTCCTCTCCTCCCCTTCCCCTCTCCTTTTCCTCTCTTCTCCTCTCCTCTTCTTTGCTCTCCTCTCCTCCCCCTCCCCTCTCCTTTTTCTCTCTTCTCCTCTCCTCTTCTTTTCTCTCCTCTCCTCCCCTTCCCCTCTCCTTTTTCTCTCTCCTCTTCTCTTCTTTTCTCTCCTCTCCTCCCCTCTTCTCTCCTCTCCTGTCCTCTCTCTTTCTCTCCTCTTTTCTCCTCTCCACTCCCCAGTTCTAATATTCCTGTTTAGCATTTCCTTCAATTATGAATGTCAGCAACAACAGTAAGAAGACATGAATAGGCCCCCAAGAGCCAGAGTTGGGACTAGAGCCAGGCCTGGTGATAGCGGGGCCTCTTCTCCCTCTGGGTTCCCTCTTCTGGCCTCGGGTGGCTTTCCTTCACCCAGGGGACGAAGTCCCAGGTCTTCCAAAGCCCTCCAGCTAAGCACCCAGTGGGCCTCAGGTTTCTACTGACTGCAGGCCCTTAGGCCTTTCTCAGTTTTGTCCCAGCAGGACCAGGTGGGGAGAGAACAGAGCCTGTCTTGGAGGATGGACTTTCCCTTATGGAAGGACCTTTGAGACCCTCTGGACCAGGGCTTCCTAAACCTTTTCGTGCCATGTGCACCCCTTTGGGGGCCTAGTGAAGGCTATGAACCCCTTCTCAGAAGAGTGTCTGGGGCCTCCTTTCATAACTGAAGTGCTCAATTTCAGTTGGAGGCTAAAGTAAATAAAGATGTAATTCTTTCTCATCCAAATTCTTGGACCCCTCAGGGGTCCACGGACAGAGTAAGAACCCCTGAACTAGAATGACTTTATCATGTTAACAAAAGAAAACTGAGGAGTTCTAGCCTTAGGTCATACAATTGAGGAGCTGCTGCCCAGCCAGACAAGGACCAGGGATGGCTAAGTGGTACCTTGAATAGAGCTCTGGGCCTGGAGTCTGGAAGACCAGAGTTCAAAGCCCACCCTGGATACTTACTAGCTGTGTGACCCTGGGCAAGTCACTTCACCCTGTTTGCCTCAGTTCCCTCATCTGTAAAATGGGGGTGCTATAATAGCACCTCCCTCCAGGGTGAGGATAAATGAGATAATATTTGTAAAGCTCTCATTTACTTGTTTCAGTTGTGTCCAACTCTTCATGACTTCATTTGGGGTTTACTTGGCTAAGATGTAGGAGTGTTTGCCATTTCCTTCTCCAGCTCATTTTACAGATGAGGAAACTGAGGCATTGTTAAATGACTTGCCCAGAGTCACACAGCCACCAAGTGTCTGAGGTCAGATTTGAATTCAGGAAGATGAGTCCTACTGACTCCAGGCCTGGCGCTCTATGTACTATGGTGCCACCTAGCCGCCTGTAAAGCTCTTAGCAAAGTGATCCTATAAACTCTTATTCTTCCGTCACGTCCTAGGCTTTCTCCCAACTCTAACATTCCATTTTCTAACGGGACACGTGGGCTCTGTCCCCACTCTCTCAGAGACCTATAACCATGCAGTCCCTGAGTCACATCAGCAAGAGTTAAAGTGAAGGACTTTTAAGAATCTCTCTCCCTGGGTCTGCCTTGGTGAAGATTCATTGGTTTTGAGAGAGTCTGGCACTGTCCTCTTGATAGATGTGGAAGCAGGTTGAAGAGTAGACAGAATTTGGAGGGGGATGCTCACCGGGACAGCAAGGGTGGGATGTGGATAACCCTCAGCACTGCTCCAGCTCAGGGCTTTCCACAGATCCCCACCTTGGCTCCTCCAGGCCTTCCACGCAGGGGAGTCTGAAAGAGACCCGGACTACACAAGGAGGGGATGGAGCTCACAAGTAGCTAGGATTTAGAGTGGAAAAGGGCTGAAGAACAGACTGTCAGAGCTGGGAAGTGCCTTAGAACACAGGATGTCAGAGCTGGGAGGACTCTTAGAACACAGGATGTCAGAACTGGGAGAGGCCTTAGAACACAGAATGTCAGAGCTGGGAAGGCCCTTAGAACACAGTGTCAGAGCTGGGAGGGCCCTTAGAACACAGAGTGTCAGAGCTGGGAGGGCCCTTAGAACACAGAGTGTCAGAGCTGGGAGGGCCCTTAGAATACAGGATATCAGAACTGGGAAGGCCCTGAGGTCCTATCCCTTAATAAAAGGATTTTTTCAGTAAAACTTGGTCTCAATCAAAAGGTTGCACCCAGGGACCTAGAAGGCCACATGTGGCCTCAAGGCTGCAGGTTCCCTCCCCTGCTTTAGGACATTGGATGTCAGAGGTGAAGGGCCCTTAGAACATAGAGAGTCTAAGGGACTTTACACAAGGGAAGGCCCTTGCAGGCCTTCCAGAAGAGGAAGCTCAGGGCCAGAGAAAGGAAAGACTTCCCCAAGAACCCATGACCAGTAAGTGTCAGAGCCAGAACTCGAGCTCTGGGACCCCAGAATGGCACACAACAGAAAATAAAGAACTTTGGGTGGCACAGCCACAGTCACAAAGTCTTCACAACTTTATTACGGTTTTCCCAGTGTGTGCTTGCCTGGCCACAGACTTTTAGACCGCCGTCCATTTTTTACTCTGGTGCTGTTTGCTGGGTGACAGTCTCCATATCTCGAGCTGGACAGCATACGGCAGGGCAGCCAGAACCGGCCTGGCTGAGGAGGGATGGGGCAGGGGCAGACAAGGGGGGCTGTGGGACCAGGAGTGGAGATGGGCACAGTGAGCAGCCCTCTGTCACGGCTTACAAATACTGGACACAGCAGGGGAGGTGATGGCGGGGGAACCCACTCAGGGCATCATGTTCCACCATTTAAAGGGGAAGGGCTTCCTGCGGACATTGGTGCCACAGTGCACCTCTCCTGAGCGGAGGTGATAGGTAAAGTAGTCATCAATGAAAGTGCATTTCAGGCCCAGAGGCTCCAGCAGGGCCTGCACCTTCTCCTCTAGGCAG